GGATGCTTGGAAGAAACTCTGTATATGACATTGGCTGGAAGCAACATAAACACGCGTCACCAAATTTAGTAAATCATCTCTAATTTTGGGAGTCCTTGGGGTTTCTAACCCCTCCCCCGGCGTAATCGACTACTTCAGTCCCTACTCTACTCGTTTCTGTATAATTCTCTTTTTCCTGGTAATGATTACATCCAATCATTGGTTTTGGATGGTAGATCTTGAATGTAGCCTATTTAAATTCAATTTTGTTTTCAGGGGAGAGAACCTAGCGCTGATCTGACGTCTTGGGCGTCGCCTCCCCTGCAGACTCCGCTTCACGTCATGGCAGTTACCCAGGAACCGTTCCTCAGACACAATCGCTGGAAATATTCCTTCCACGGGGATCCCAAAGTCTACCCGCCCTACAACATCAAAGCAACTTCCTCGGTGCCAAACGTTCTCAACAGATATGGGCCAGACTTTAAAGACGAAGCATCTATATGAGCACTACTGACGGACTGGTAGCTAGGTCATAGTAAGAGAAGTCCAGGGGGTGGGTGGGCAACAGGGGCAAACCAGTACATGGGGGGCGGGGGGAGGGGATTCTAATTATTTAAGTAGGCTACATAAACACTTAGTTTTAGAAATTAAAATATTCTTTTATCTGACAAACATAATCTGTTATTCAATAATAATAATAATAATAATGTTTTAAATTTCAAATTTAAATTATTTAAGTATGATACTATTAATTAGTTGTTTTTTACTTATGTAGTGCTGACTAGTGACTAACTAGGTTGCAAAGAAAAAGGGTGTCCTTTTATGGGTTGGGGGGGGGGGCATATTTAAAGTTTTTCCTATGCCAAAAGTTTGAGGTTTGAAGTAAGTTGCCTCCAACAAATGAGTCTATGCCAAACAAACTTTTCTTTCAGCTGATTTATTTCAATATTTCAGCCAATACTTATACATCAAAGAAAAGCGTTTTTCCTATAATCTCTGTTGTTTGTTCAAATGTTTTCTTCATGATAATTTATGATGCCATGAATAAGTTGTCTTTTTTTCTATGGACATCTCACTTTAATTAAAAATATTCCAAAAGTTTTAATGTTGTTTGTATAGATCAATTATTTAGGGTTGTGTAGGTCTAAATTGCATCTAGGTCAATATTTTTAAATAAATTCATGAAAAAGTAGGCCTATATATTACTAATGTCAGCTTTAATAAATAAAAGTAAATGGGCCGGTCTCAGCCATGCATTAATCTTAGGTTGTATTTTAAAATTATTTAATAATTGTTTTGTTAAGTGAAACAGTTTTATTTTTAATGAAATCTACATTTTCACATTTTGTTTTAAAATGTTTGATTAATAAAATTGTATAAAGCCAAGATCTACTAGCTGTAGTTAAAATATTTGTTCTTGTGATTTGTTATTAGACTTTATATACTTGTCACATTTAACAAAATTATGATGTAATTATGGAGAAACCCAGCAATTAAATTATAATAGTTCAAGGAACCACATTATTCCCCCACACTGAAAATGTTGGGATTATTTTTTTAATGATGGGATTTTTGTCATTCTAGATCAAATGCTGGTTGTATCAGAAATATAACAATGCTTTATCGTGATAAAAAAAACTAATGCATAAGTCGTTACCATTGGCATTTGATATCTCTGACAATTCTATAATGTGATTACCATTGACTGCCTGTTCGAGGTTAACTGTTTTCAGAAATCTTTAAACATCGGACAGTTAATTACTAAAAGTATATCTACCAACAACTTACCAGCTACATTCCATAGCTTCAACACATTCCATCTCTCTCACAAGGGAGGTACTAAACTATGCTTAACAATAGCAAGTCAAAACAGCAGCTGTGTTGGACATCACACAACAGCAGCTGTGTTGGACAACTTAACACAACAGCAGCTGTGTTAGACATCACACAACAGCAGCTGTGTTAGACATCACACAACAGCAGCTGTGTTGGACAACATCACACAACAGCAGCTGTTTTGGGAGACATCACACAACAGCAGCTGTGTTGGACAACACCACACAACAGCAGCTGTGTTGGACAACATCACACTAGCAGCTGTGTTGGATAACACCACACAACAGCAGCTGTGTTGGACAACATCACACAACAGCAGCTGTGTTGGACAACATCACACAACAGCAGCTGTGTTGGACAACATCACACAACAGCAGCTGTGTTGGACAGCACCACACAACAGCAGCTGTGATGGACAACACCACACAACAGCAGCTGTGATGGACAACACCACACAACAGCAGCTGTGTTTGACAACATCACACAACAGCAGCTGTGTTGGACAACACCACACAACAGCAGCTGTGTTGGACAACACCACACAACAGCAGCTGTGTTGGACAACATCACACAACAGCAGCTGTGTTGGACAACATCACACAACAGCAACTGTGTTGGACAACATCACACAACAGCAGCTGTGTTGGACAACACCACACAACAGCAGCTGTGATGGACAACACCACACAACAGCAGCTGTGTTGGACAACATCACACAACAGCTGCTGTGTTGGACAACATTTCAAAACAGTGAGCTAGCCAATGCAATGGGGCAGGTCAGTTAGCTTATTCTAAGGCAATGAAGCAGTGCATGTCTCAGCCAATCAAAAGACATAACCAAATGTTATTTTTATTAGTTGAATATATCTTCAAGTTATTCATGTTTCCTCAGATGGAATGTTCTATTTATTATGCAAACTACACACCAATCAACAGGTTATTTATTTTAGTTGAGTTTTTGAGGAACTTGGCTGAGAAAACGTACATTTGAAAGATAATTACAAGAAAACTATAATTTTGTATAGACTTATTTTATTCTCAAATAAAACATGTAACTGGTGACTAAAAAAGGAACACAATTTTAAAATAGAATCTAGCACTTAAAACTCAAAGCTTTCTGTTACTAGTGCTAGACAGACTTAGTGACATCCATGTTACAGACTGAAATTAACAAAAACCTGCCTCTTGTCTAGTGCATAGCTTTTGTCAATGATTTGGGAATTCAGAGACAAGGCAAAGAAAAGAATTTAATTTATAATTAAAGATAATTCTCAGCCTTAAACTTTGATAATAAAATGAAAATAATATCTGTCATAAATGAGATTTTGAAAATGTTTGCATCATCAAGTTTTAGTAGTATAATACAAGATTTGTAAAGCTTTATGCCAAATAGAGCAACCAAGTTAGAAATATATGCTGATGTTCAGTGTGCTGGTACTGTTCATTTGGTGTGGGTAAGACAGTGAGATGAAGCCTTTGATATAGAGGTTCATTTTGTCTAAATAACATAGCTATAGGTGAAGTACTGTAAAATCTCTTAAATTATGTAACTGGTAAACTTCTAGAGATCCCTGATATAAATTGTTGATACCCTTTATATGCTGGCATTATGGCTTGTCAGTTACAGTAGTTATCAATCCAATATAGTTTTTATCTAACTCACATTTAGAGCTTAAGAGTTTTAAGGGTAAAATAAATTAGGGAATATACACTGCTAAACACTTATTACAACATGATTAAAAACTATGAGTTGTATGCATTTACTTATAATTTGGGATATTATTTTATTCTTCCTGTAGTGTCAAAAATGTTAAAACTAAATATTAAATAATGAAATAAAAGTTAAGTAGTAATAATTAGAAACAGTTAAACAATGTTTGATCTATAGCCTCCAATGTTTTAAAGTAAATTGGTCTGTCGCAGAACTAAATTTTAAAAAATAATTCCTACATTTATTCATGGCACGCTAAAGAACTCAAAATAAAACTGAATTTGTAATGGCAAAAACTTCACATGACAAAAACTTTTTCAAGATTTTCAACATGGTAGATCTCACGGGTTCTTGGGCACACAACTCGTCCATCATTATCAGCAGCCATGTTTTCCAATGCCTAAAAAGGAAAAAAAAAACATTTTATTATCTTTAAACATCATCAAAAATTTTTCTAGTTATTCACTCTCCTAAAAGATATTGAATATTGCTGATACCTTAAGACCATAAATTCTACCATTGGGTAGCATCATAGGAGGGTTGTGTTCATTTAACACTGTGCCTGTGATACTACAGACTAGTTTGGAATTTGTACAGTGGGCAAACGGAAGAGGCTGGGCCAGCTCGTTTAGGTGAGTACTGCAAACTGGGCAATCCGGGTGTCTCATGTTGGCGTCTTTATAGCAATGTCTAGTGCAGCGATAAGGCAATCAACAATATTTTAATACAAGACAGCTCTTTAGAATTGTTCTAATAGTAAAGCTTAGTGGCAATCTTTAATGTAGTGATGAGGCAATCAACTCTACTTTAAAACATTGGTGCTGTTTAGTATTGTTCTAATTAGTAAAGTTTAGTCTTTATAACAATATCTAGTACAGTGATAAGGCAATTATTCATATTTAACATCATGAGCGCTATTCTATTATTGTCCAAATTTGTGAAGATCATTCTCAAGTAAAGGATACAGAGTTTTAAGAGCAGATAAACCAGCCTGTAGAGTAGCAGTGAACACAGATGTGCTATTCAGCTGATGGAGTTTAAAGTTTTCCTGCCTGAACTGTAAAACCAACTTCTGCCAGTTGCCCATGTCTAGCAGATCCTGAAAATGTTTTCAACTATTTACGACAACCCTAAAAATAATTTCAAAAAGTTTAAAAAAGATAAATATATATTAATATAATAATCTATTGTGGTGTATATCTTCACACAATTAGGTTTCAATAACTCAATCTTGATTGTAGTGTAAATTTTCAAAATTAGAAGTATTTATGTTCTAAAACTAAAGCTTTATCAAACGTTAATAGACCTACTGAATATGGATTATCAGGACTACTACAGTTAAATGCTAACATTCCCATTAGCTTCTGCACATCCCCAACCTGGTTTGCCTCAACTGATGAAAAATATTTGCGAGCATGCCTGAAAAAGATTTTTTTAATTTCTAAAATCTTTTGTAAACTGCCGCATTAAAAAATATGTAACAATTTGTGTTAAGATTAGGTCTATATTTTAAAAGTTAAAATCAAATTTTGCAACGATATGGATAATTATTCTGGATACGAATTAAAATCGAGTAGATATATAGCTATTAATTGTTGTTTTCTAATATTACTATTTTCATGACTTAAAGCTTTATAAAAACAGAAGCGAGAAAATATTTTCATAAAAAATAGATGCCAGTCAGTTTCTATTTCTTTTTGTCTTAAGAACTCGCAATTAGAATTGGAAATTATTCTAAACATGGGGTTTATTTGAAAATGAGAAAATCTTAAACTATTCAATAAATAAACAATTTACAATAACTTACTTAATAGCATCCAAACGCTTATCTTCTCGAATCAGCTCAACAAACTCCTGTTTTCTAACAGTAAATTCTAAAGTACTCTGAAGATAGGGAAATATATTTTAATCTACATGTACATTTTTACACATTACAACAAGTTTCAAACACAATTAAAGACAGTTACCTTCATTTTTCGAAGCTTTGATCTGTTATCTATACACCAGCTCAAACACGGCTTTGTATCACTCTTTGCCAGCGCATCTTCTATTTCTTTAGACATCATAAACAATTCAATGTTGGTTAGATCCTGGAAACAATGAGACAATGTCTGGTTTTTTTAGAAAAACACAGGTAGAGCCTTATGTTTATCTTTCAGGTTTTTGTAATCATCAGGGTAAGCTCTAGGGTCAAGGTAGGGTAGAGTTTCTAGCAAACAAAATGTTGATACACTTAAAACTATCGCTAAATTCAAATCAATGTTTGTAAAAGCTTTGTCATGTTTAGTTATAACTAACCTCTATGTTGGAGTGCTTTGCCAACTTCAATGCTGAATTGTAGTAACCTGCCCTTAAAAAGTATTCAACCAGCATTCTGTCCAGTCTGTTTTTTTGCCACCATGTTGGTGGGACGAAATCTTTTATGCCAGGAGTATCTCTTTCTTGTAGGTGCTCCAATCTTCTTTTAATTACACGAGAAGCCCCCAATTCTTCCTGGATACTCTCTTCTGCCTAGATTTTTTAATGGGAAAGTTTATGAGTTTTATATTTCTCAAGAATAAAAATAATAAAATTCAAATTTGAACAATTGTGTGCACTAAAAAGAAAAATGTGTGCTTTAGTAATAATGGTCTCTCTTTATTCTAGTTTAAATAGTTGCTAATGAATCGCATAATTAATATACCTTTCGTTTAAGCATTGATAAATTGTCCACCATTGTTGAAATAGCAGATGTGACATCTCCAACTGTCAAACTGGAATCTTGAAATTTTCTTTCTATGTCATTTGCTGAATTATTTATTCTTGATGCCTCTCTATCAATTATTTTTTGAGAAGCTCGAAACTGTTTATTCAACAATTCATATGGCACCTGCGGATTTGAATTATTTAACATTTTAAACTAAACTGTTAAAATCAACAAGTTGCAATATTAATATTTTCTTAAGCTATTTTTAACAAACACGCGTTTACAAATAAAAGTATCAGAGTGAAATCACTCTTTTTTTTTAATGAGTGTTTCCATCCCGTCCGTCACACATCATGACAAAATATGTTTCTAAAATTTTAATATCGGTCAACATAGAGTATGTTAATCAATTTCTATGTACAATTTATTGAAAAATAGCTAAGTTCAGTTTCTAGCATTATTTTTTAAAATGCAAAAGTGTGTCATCATGCTATCTGAATCACCCTCGCCCTTATTACACATCGACATGGTCACTAAATTACGGACACTTCCCTCGCCCTTATGAGTGTGAAGTCATTTAAGGATGACTCCTAGTACAAAATGAAATTAATGAATAGTACATTATTACAGGTTTTAGGTCTAGATCTACTTACTAAAATACATTTAATACTTAATATACTTTATTACAGTTACTAATTAAACTTAAACATAAAGTTAGCCTAGATCAAGATTCTATAGGCCTATTATATCTAATTTTTATTTAGTACAGAGACATAGATCATAGATCTAATTTAGATTCTAAATGATACAAGTTGACAATACTTTCATTAAATAATTGGCTTTACTTAAATTATAAAATTAACAAATTGAAAAATTGTATTAAAATTCATCATTCAACGACAACATAACTCATGTGATTAGAATAGTAAAGAATAGCTTCTAGATCTAGAGTCTAGATCTACTAGATTTAGAATAATCTACTTATGATCAATCTCTATTAGTTCAGTTACAAAACAAAGCGACGAATACAAAATGACTAAACATCACAAAAACACAAGTGAATTCTGTCTCAGACAGTCTCAGAGTGAGTAAACAGTAAAGTAGTCAGTTGAGTAGAAGACAAGAGCACAGCGCAGTGACAGAGACCAGAGAAGAAGAGACGTCCGTCACATATCAATGTGTCATTCTAGATCTAGCGTTTGTCATAGTTAGATTTTGCTTTCAGTATGAATATGTACTGTAATTAATAAAAGGGTGTAAACATAATCTAGATCTACTAATTTTTGAAAATTTAGTCCATTCATTACTTTCAATGTTGAGTGCTCCAAAGTTTTTATGTCAGCCATGTTGTCAGAGCAAACAGGTCTGGTAGGTCATAGGTTAATTGATTTTCCCAGGGTAAATAAAATTTTGAAGTAATTAATAAGTAAATCTATACTTTGGAATGGTTATATAATTGAAGATGTTGACTTATTTATTTTTTCAATAGTTTACCTTCTGTCAAAAATAAATAAATAAATCTAATCAATGGGCCTATGGTTTTTTGTTTGTTTTTGTTGTTGTTTTTTTCTACGCCAAATCCCAAACCAAATTTATATTTTGATCATTAAAGATCTAGATTTCTAGATCTAATCACTAACAGCGACCTAATTAAGCTAAATGTATTAAATAATAAATATTTAATAGGTCTTGTAAATTTATTGTTATTAATTAGTAATTAGGCCTTTTTGGCTTTTAGAATAGTTTTAAGTTGAGGTCATAAAGACAAATTTCAATTAGCTTCAACTTATTGACTTTGGAAAAATTGTTTTGTTTGTGTTTTTAATTTAGGCTAATAGATCTAGATCTACTAGATCTAGATTCTATATGCATATTGAAATAGACTACACAAAAAAGCCTCTATCAAAGTCACTGAACACCAAGTCAGTAAGAGAGATTCCAAATTTTGTGACAACTGTGACACGTTATGAGATGGTGGGGTGGGGCGGGCATCAAATTGAAAATTTAGTATTTTTACAACCGTGTTTTGTCAGGTTGATAGCTGATTGTTTTTTTTAGGCCTAAAGTAAAGGTCTAATAACTCCATGAATGGGATAACACCAACCTGGTGAAATTGTACGAATTATAAATATTTATAATGCAATATAATGATGTTGTAGAAAAAAATTAGTTATACACATTGAGATCGGTGACCAAAAAGATGCGCAACGTAAAAAGCTCAACGGAAAAGATCGCAAACAGAAATTAGCGCACACAGATAAATGCGCAAAGAGAAAAATGCGCTAACAAAAAAGCGCAAATAGAAAATTGCGCACACAGAAAAATGCGCACACAGAAAAATGTGCAAATAAGAAAATTATGCACACAGATGTGTATTTTAACTTTTGATCTCCTCAAAGATCCGACTACCACCCAAGTCCACATAAGCCGACTTTTTTATTTTTTCGCTTTTCAGCCACTTACTCCCCCCCCCCCCTCCCCGAGACGACGTAATATAAGGTTTGCCCCTTTGGGGTCATCCATAATGACGTCACGCTTTTTAAAACGATTTTTACCTCCCCCTCCCCTCCGTCACACTTCGTCACAAAAAGCCAGACCCCCCCCCTAAAATGACGTCACACCTCGGTCTACAACCCCCCCCCCCCTCAAAATTGCTGTTGAATTTTTCTTAAAACATCGATATTTTTCCAAAATCTTGTCAGAACTCTGTCAACATAGAGTATTTTGCTCAATTCCTATTACAATTTATTAAAAGCCGTTTTCCAAAACGCGAAATCACGGCTAAAACTCGTTTTCTAACATTGCTTTTTTATAATGAAACAAGTGACGTCACACCATCTAAGCCCCCCTCCCCCTCATCACACACCGTCACAAAATTACGGACTCCCCCCCCCCCCCCTACGAGTGTGACGTCATTTATGGACGACCTCTTTAGTGTTTTCAAAGTGTTGAACAATCAGAACATTTTTGAAAAACGTTTCCGATATCGCCGGGAAAGCGCGCTTTCTAGAGTAGAGTAGCAACTGCAAGGCCTATAGACCTACATATTTATTGTCATAGGGTAGTTCCAGATCTATTTCCTATAAATCTAAGGTTTTGATTACGCTCGACATGAATTTAAAAGAAAATAGGCTAACCGACCACGAAACCACTTTTTGAAAATTTAATTAAAGTAAAATCCAGAGCAATATATCAGAGGTAATGTTGCTATTATTTTCATTGGTTGTAATTGTTTCGGTAATATAAAACTAGTTCGTTAGAGAGTTTTTTAACAATTCGAAAAAGCTTAACCGTACTTATTCCCTTGCAGAGCCTCAAATAAAAAAAAACAAATAAAAATACATATATAATCTAAATAATAATAATATATATATTATTATGAATACACTCGTTAATTAAATTTTATTTTAAAATGAATAATAGTTTTGGCTTAATAAAATGTAACATTATTTATAAGAAAGTCACGCGAGACTACGAGACTGTAAACGCCATTCGCCTCTAAATGAGAAGCCCCGCACGCTTTGTAGAGAAAGATAGCATCTTTATTCTCCTGGTTCTAAGTTTTTATTGTGAGTAATGAAATGACATTTGATTAATGTATAAACAAAGTATTAATTTCATATTCAGCTAAATTTATACTTCTAACTGTTTATTTAGGTTGATTGCTAACATGTAAACTAGAATAAGCCCCTGTCTGCAGAATCAGTGCATTTTCAATTTTTTTTTTACAAAAGGAGCAACAGCAGCCCAGTCTGCTAACCATGTACTGCTAAAATTGTGTAATGTAGCATTAGATTGTAGATCCCGAGGTAACTGTTAGTTTCATCAACAGAACTAGCTTGACCCTTGTTTGATGCAATTTGACTTATACTAAATTATACTTGTTTACAAATCATTGAATTTTAAAATCTTGTCATAATTCAAGACTTCTGAATCCTGAGAATCTGATCATTTAGGAAGTCCTAGATCTAGAATCTAGCCTCTGTCTCCACATTTTTACAAATTTCTAAGAAAAATGGGATGATTTTAGATCTAGATACAGATATCCGATAATAGACTCTCCCAAAAATAGGTGTGTTGGGTTGTTAGTAATATTGTTAGGCCTAGGCCCCTACTTGTAATCTAGACTAAGTTTATGGTTAGAAATTAGTAATATTGCTCGCTACCCCCGAGGCGTGGCTGCTTGCTAACAACAATATGCCGTACAGACAGGATGCATGACTTCCAACAATGTTTCGTTTTAGTTCCAGAGACCTTCTTGGAATTACTTATATAAAAAGTTTACCACTAGCAAAATTGCGGGTTACCATGTTATAAAAACATGCAAATTTAAAAGTCAGTGTCATTAAAATTAATAGAACTATTAAAATATCAGCCAGGAGAGTACAAAAATGAATTGGAGGTTGTAAATTAGTAGTTTTTCTCACTAAATCTAGAATTTACGCAATTATCAATTTAAACAGGACCACTGAATAATAGACATCCATATTTAATCCATTAGGCACTAACTTTGGAGTTTTTAGTTAGTTTTAAACTAAATTACTTAATTTAATATTTATTGTCAATCACTGCCATGTCCAACACATCTCTCCATGACAACTCTTCTTAAGCTTGAAGCTAAAGAAAACCACAAATCAAGTTAGACTTTTTAAGTGGCCATGCACAAGAGTTCCTCACTAGTGATCACCAAATAGTGGTCACGTGGTTTTTTTTTTTTCAAAAAAAATTTGGTTGTCATTTTTTCGGCTGGTCTCATAAAAAAACGGTTGACGATATTTGATTTATTTTTTCATAGACTGATAAAACTAATAATGCTTTAGTATGGAAATCAATTTTGTAATATGGAAATCGATATTTAAAAAGTTCTAGTATTTTTGATGAAACCAACTTTTAAATTTAGCCTTCATTCTCCAACGCAAATTTTAAAATGCTTTTCTGGCATATATAGCCCTGCCACCTATAGCTTGTTTTTATAACGTGAAAGTCCCGCCATTTTGCGCGTGGTAAACATTTTAAAAACTAATTAGTAGAAGGTCTCTGGAATTTGGCCGAAAAATCGTCGGAAGTCAAGCGTCCTGTCCGGGCGCCATATTGTTGTTAGCAACCGACCACGCCTCCAAGTTAGCGAGTAATACTATAAATTAGAGTTATGATTCTATGGAAAGATAAATCGAATATTGCAAGCACTTTTTTTAATAAGACTCTTTTAAATGACAACCAAATTTTTTTTTTAAAACCACGTGACCACTAGTGGAGAACTCTGGTGCATAGCCAGTTAAAAAGTCGAACCGGATTTGTGGTTTGCCTTTGCCTCAATGTAAGAGTGATATAACAAGTGTCGTCATGGAGAGGTGTGTTGGCATAGTTTATAACAAACTTAAAACTTCAAAATTAGTGCCTAATGGATTAAATATGGATGTCATGTTTAAATTGCAAATTGAGTAAATTTTAGATTTAGCAAGAAAATCTAGAAATTAGGGTTAGGCATATGTTAGGGATAGAGTTAGCATTGACATTAGGTAGCCATGTGTGTATTTTAGTTAAGTACTAGTAACCATATACCCCTTTTTTTATTAAATTTCCACACAAAAAGTTTTAAAACAGTGATCCAGATTTAGAAATTAAAGTTTGGATAGATTCTAGATCAAGATTTAGGTACGTTAATCTAAATCTAGTTGGTATAGGCCTGCTCACTATTTTGAAATGTACTCATTCCAGTATTCAACACTGACCAATGGTTATGGGTTGTTGCATAGTTTTGGCTTTGGCAGGTAAAGGTGGGGTGCTATGATGAAATAAAAAAAGGAGGGGTTGTGTCAGATGTTAGAATCTTTAAAAAGGGGTGTAAGGTTGCTAGTACTTAATTAAATTACACACATGATTTTCTAATGTCAATGCTAGCCCCAACCCTAGTCCGTACGCCTAACCCTAATTTCTAACCATAAAACTTGTCCAGATTACAATATAACTAACAACTTAACAGCTGTTTTTGGAAGAGTATTATCTGTATCTAAAATCATCCCAAAGTCACTGTAAGTTCACAAATAGGTCAGTGATAAAAATATGTAGAATTGTTGAAAATAAAATATTTTTTCATTATTTTAGTTTTTCATGATTCACTTAAAATATCACTGAAACCCTAATTTTAACGTTATTAAAAAAATATAAGTGTGTGTGCCTTATACAATCTGTTGCCTTTAAAAATGTCCTGAAATGTACATTGTCCAACATAAAAACTTCAGAAATTTGATTTTAACTTGGGTGCTTGAACCCTGGTAATTGCTTATAAAATTGTCACACTGTAGCCTAGAGTACTGCTGTGATAACTAGCCACGTTTTGAAAGTTACAAGCAGTCTAGATCAAAGCACACAAAAAAGAATTAGCATCTGTATTGTTGCTAACTAATAAAATTTGTTGTGGGTCAGCCATTGTCAGGAGGGAAAGCTCATGGTTTCTAACCAGATGAACCTTCTGGCAGAAAACAACCCATCTAAGAAAGAAATACCAACTCTGGTTACTATTCAGGAACTTCCACAACCCAAGCTTGTATACCAAACATATTCCTTAGGACTAAACCATGCAAGGTTGAGAGTATAGCTGTGCATAGCGATCTACAATTTTTTTATTTAAGGCCTTAGTACTAGCCCTGACAATTCACTTCTCTGTGTTATCAACTATCTCCCAAAGTTAAATGGAGTCATATAATTTTTTAAATATTAACGTGTAATTAGCTACTTTGTATACAAAACAAAATAGATGTAAAAAGTATTACTATAGTTTTAAAATAGACAAAAGCCAATTATTACAGAAAATCTATTCTTTTGTTACTGATAAAAAAGTTTTGGATTAGCAGCTCTGACAAGTAGTACTAAGTAGGCTTGTGTGCCACAAATTAAGCACTTTTTTTTTTTTTTTTTTGGCAAACCCTTTTCTCAGCCTCGGAATAGCCTTAATGTGCATATTCAGTTAACAATATACCACTGGAGATAAAAAAAATTTAACATTAACTTTTTGTGCAATTTAAAAGAGGTAGGATTTAGAGACCAGTGTAATTTTTTTTTATTTGGTTGAATCTATATTTAAAAAGTAAGGTGTTAAAAAATATTAGATACACCCACCTTGGTTTTTATCTTTGACAGGCAGTTACATCTCTGTATATTTTTATTAAAACTCAATTAAGGCATATTTTTAAAAATCACATCTATTTTTCTTACCCTTAGTACACATTTTCCCCAAACATAATATAAAAATTTAATCATAAACAAAACTTGTTAAAAAATGTCTAAGTCTAGTTCAAGAAAGCAGAAAGTTCAAATTATCTCATTGTTCCTCAGTAGTGGTGATGGGTGTGGGAAATTAAGTAAGGGTGCTGCATTACTAATCAGCGATACAGTGTAATCTGCTTTAGCTATCAGTAATTCACATTGACAATTATAATCTGTCAAAAACATGTCAGCATCATAGTGAAAACTTTCTTTAGTAACTGTAATATCAGTTTATTTGTTTTATGAACAGATAATAACAGCAGTATGACTACAGGCTAACATTTAAGGGTTTGGCATAATCTAAACTGGAATAAAAAGTTTATTTGGGGTCTTGGAGCTCCTTATGTAAGTTTGTTAGATGATTATTGTTGAATATTTTTACAATAAAAATAAAGGTAGATTGCATATATATGATAAAATTCTTTGCATTGCAAGCAGTGAGACAGTTCAATTAATTTGGTGTGCAATTGCAGCTTAAGATTTTTATATACCATTTAATTACTTTTGTTCAATTAAAATGTTTCTTAAGGCTATTTATAATTCTTTAATTATTATTACAGCATATATTGAGTCACTTGTACGGCTGGTTCTTGCAAGAATTATCATTTATTCAGTATCTCTAAAAAAGGATTCAAAGTTGTCTTTTCTTATGCAGGCGGCTCCCAAGAAGGCTAGATTGGAGCCTAATACAAGTAAGTTTTTAATATTGTAATAATTATTGCATGCTATTTAAGCTAAATCTTGTCAAAAGTAAGTTTCACATAGAAAAACTACTGAACCTCTTCACTCAAGATATTTCAAAATTTGGTTGATTTGATAAGGATCTGTGCATCTTAGTGCTTGTTCATTTCCCCTGAATCTGAATGGTTTATAAAAGTACTGTTGAACATTTTTTTTAATTTTCAGTGTCTATAAGAGGTCCAATCCCTAATGGGCCAATGCATCCCCGCCCCCTAGTTGCACTTTTAGATGGCAGGGATTGCTCAATTGAAATGCCCATTTTGAAAGATGTTGCAACTGTTGCTTTTTGTGATGCCCAGTCTACACAAGAAATTCATGAAAAGGTAAGTAGAAAAAGATTTCCAATTTAGAGCTTTCTTTCAGTAAATTTTTTTTTTTTGCTTGATTCATTTTTTCCCTTAATTTTTTAAGCAATCATGTGTTTATTCTTAAATATTTAGGTATTAAATGAAGCAGTTGGGGCACTGATGTGGCACACTATCACATTGACAAAAGAAGATTTGGATAAATTTAAAAGCTTGCGTGTCATCATTAGAATAGGCAGTGGCTATGATAATGTTGATGTTAAAGCTGCAGGAGAAATGGGTAAGAATAATAAACTTTTGGGTGAAAATAATTTAAAGAGCTTGTTGATTAACTTTTTTTTAGTGTTTCACCTCACTTATTTGAAAATATAAAATTTCAGGCATAGCCGTTTGTAATGTACCTGGTTATGGTGTAGAGGAAGTAGCAGATTCAACCTTGTGCCTCATTTTGAATTTATACCGCCGTACTTACTGGCTTGCAAATATGGTTCGTGAGGGAAAGAAAATAAATGGACCTGAACAACTTCGAGATGCTGCTCAAGGATCTGCAAGAATTAGGGGTGACACGCTTGGTATTGTGGGTTTAGGTGAGTGTTAAAACTTTTTAAATATCTGTTTAAAAAAGTTATCCTGTGGAAATTAGCTACTTTACGTAAGTCTTATCTCCAATTTATATTTCTCATAATTATATATGGCACATTTTATTATTTAAAAAGTGGATATTTAGATTAAAAAAAAAATATGCTAAAATTTTTCACCACCATTTTTTATCTTGCAGGCCGTGTTGGTACTGCTGTAGCAATTAGAGCAAAAGTATTTGGCTTCAATGTTATTTTTTATGATCCTTATTTGGCGGATGGGATTGAAAAATCACTTGGTAAGTATGTATCGTTAACTAAAACTAAAATTATCCAAAACGCTCACAATTTCACACACTACAGCATACCACTATTTGTGGTTCAGCTTACACTCATTAATCTTTTGATTTTTTGTTAAGGGTTGCCTTTTTTGTCACATGCTGGTTTCATGAATTAGTATTTAAAAACAATCACTATTTTAAAATCCTAACATTGTTTTATCAAGGTATAACCCGTGTTTACACACTTCAAGAGCTTCTGTTCCAAAGTGATTGTGTTTCGCTGCATTGTAATTTAAATGAACATAATCATCATCTAATTAATGACTACACAATCAAACAAATGAGACCAGGTAAGAATGGTTGTAAATCAGAATTTTTGTAACTATTGTAATAGTTTTAAAAATTATTTTACTTTCAATTAAAATTTTATTAATAATTTAACTAAATCAAATATCCTAATTACGCTTTCATAAATTTATTCTCACGTTAAATTTTTCCACATTTGATCTTTATTAAAAAAAATTTCTCCAGGAGCCTTTCTTATTAATACTGCTCGAGGTGGTCTAGTGGATGAGCATGCTTTAGCAGCTGCCTTAAAAGATGGGAGAATACGAGCAGCAGCTCTTGATGTTCAAGAGAATGAGCCTCTGGTGTTTGCTAATAGTGAGTGCTTGAGAAATATCTGTAAAATTATCACAGTGAATGCTTTATTTCTGGATTGAGTAAACAGTTTCTGCCGTGTTAATGTATTGTTAAAATGTTTAAAATTTTGTTTTATTTTTTAACAGGTCCTCTCAAAGATTGTCCCAATCTCATCTGCACACCTCATTCAGCATTCTATAGTGAGCAGAGTGTGACTGAATTGCGTGAAATGGCTGCAGGTGAAGTTCGGCGTGCTATTCTTGGACGCATCCCTGAAAGTTTACGGAATTGTGTCAATAAGGAGTATTTCAACCCCACCACTAGTAAGTAAAGTAAGAGCCTTTAAATTTCATTTTTATTTCAGTTTATTTGATAAAAATTAACATAATTGCTGTATGAGTTTGTTAGTTTTGTTTAATTAAATGGTATTGATTTATGCAAAAAGAACCTTGTGTGCATGCTTATTTTGTTAATATAGAAATAACTTTTTTTTTTAATATGAATCATCTAAAATGATCCTCAGGTGCACCGCGATATCCATTTCCCCCAGTAGGCCCATTTGACAGTATAAACGGTGCAACTGGTTATCCAGGATTTAATCCTGCTGTTGCAGCAGTTGCCATTCACTCAACAACAGATCATCCAGCAGTTTCTCATGGAGGAGCTATTTTGACCACTGCCCACACTGCCCCAGATTCTGGAAATCATGTGCCCAAACCAGAGAACCCTAGTCCTGTCCATTAGGTTGGGATTTGTTTGGGGGAAAGGTTGAAGGCAGCATGTACTCATGAACATAAAATAGGCAAGATTCTGATTGCTGAACCTTGTCTGTCAACAAGAAAATTATAACAGTATCATTGTAATTGTGTGGATGTGAGGTTTTTTTTTTTTTTTTTTTTTGCTTTTGATTGATTCTTTTATTTTAAGTTTGACCAGCTCATGTTTTTGGTTGAATATCAATTATTATTTTTTACTTGAGAGAAAGGAATGTATTATATTTATGGAGAAAGTGTTAAAAATTATTTAGATTAAATATTTGTTGTTCAACCAATCCGTTAAATTTCATTGACTAACTGCTAAGTATGACAAGGGTGTTTTATTCCAGATCTGATGTTTGTTCTTGGCTTACCATCAAATCCTATAACCTACCATTAAATTACTTTAAAAATTTTCTTATCTATTAAATCTGTTTTACTTAATGTAGTTTCATTTTTTCTGTCAAAGCACTTTAATTTTTTAGACATTAATTAATTTGTAATATTTATCCTGTATTTGAAATACAATTTTATTGAAATTTTGGTATGGATTTAGATTTATTTGGTTCAGCATCGTTACTTTGTACTGTTTTGTGAAGCTCATTTGTGTGAAATTTAGATAGTTAAGCAAATTTTATATGCTTACTTGTAAGATTTTTTAATTAAAATTTTAAGTAGCTTTATTTTTCTTTTAAAATCACAACAGGTTTTAATTATATCTATTAATTGGAAGTACTTTTTTGCTATTTGTTGAAAATTATCACTGCACAGTTATCTTATGACTCCACATGGATTTCTACATATGCTTTAAAATTTCTTTTATCATACTTTCATTTACTAAGTATCTCATGGTAGCTCACTAATTTTTCTAGTAATTCGTTTTTTCAAGTAAGCTTTCAAGAAATAATATTTGAATACCCTTCTATACATCTTTTAAGATACCTGCAGTTTATTGAATAGGTTGTGTTATGCCAGTACATGAACGAAGATGACCTGTTCTAAATTTAAATTGTATGCAATAGACAAAGTATAAAATTTATTGTAGTAAATTGAATTTTGTTCTCCATATTTCCAATCTCATGTTGTGAGCTTATACCTTTTACTTTGTCATGAGTGTATTAATTTTTTAAAAGTTTATATATCATAGTTTAGAAAATTTTACAGAAGTAATAAGTACATTTTTCCCCCCAGAAATTTTAGTTCTTAGTTTAATTCTGTTGTGTTTGTATCATCTTAGCTTGACCATTCTATAAAAAAACTTTGTATTTTGCTTATTAAAGTTAGTTTATGATATTCCAGCTTTCAACAATTACATGTGAGCAAAATTGTATATATTGTAAATATTTTTGTAGAGTAAAGATTTTCATTCTCATGATAAACATAACTATTCATAAATCATAATTATAGAATAAACTATCAATTTGTCTAGATGTCAAATCATCTCGAAGTTTACTTTGTCCATGTTATGAATGCATAAACAATAACTTCTTTTATTTAGAACTCATTTACAAGAACAGAGTATTGGCTTTCTAGAAGTAACCAATGGTCTGAACTCCGAAACTATGCAGTGATGAATATTTTCAATGCCCTGGTTAGATCGCTACAAAACCTGGGATTTAATTTTTTTGTATTAAAAAGTTTTTTCTCTCAAATTTTGTTATTGAGAATCAGGGTTTTTTTTTTTTTTGTAGCGGATTCCACAAATTGTATTACCTTACTCCTAGTTTTCAAAATCTATGCATATGTGCAATTAGTGTCCCAAAATCCAAATCTCAGTTATAACTAACATGTACAAACTAAAACTATTGAAGTTTATTTTATTTTTTTTTTCAATAGAAATTTAATGTCAGTGAAGTTTACCACCACTTGTAATTAACATTTCATTGCACTATGCTAGCATCTGTTTGTTTTTTTCCATTAATTATTGTATGTGTATTTGTAAAGTTCATGCTTGTTTGTACAATTGATTCCCTAAATGTTTCTCTATTTTATCCAATATTACAAGTAGCTATTTAGTTAATTTTTTTTATCTGTAAAAGAAAAGCTACCTTCTTTCATGTTAAGTCCTGTGAGCATTTTTTTTTTGTAATGGCAACTCTATGACTTTTGGATGGAAACAGTGACACAGGAATCATACATAATCAATACTAATTTTATAATGTGCTTTTAATGTGGGGAAATATCAGTTGTTCTGCTTTTATCTTCCACAAGAACTTGTTAATAAAATTAAATGACTTTTGTAACAGTTTTGTTTGTTTTCATCAACCAGGCATGTATAAGTGCCTTGAGAAAGTATTTGAACCATCCCAGGAAATGTGTGGAGATTTATTTCACAACATAATAATAATAGGGGAAAAACATCTAAAGATAGTAATCTCATCTTTTGATTTTTGCCAAACTGCACAGGGAATGTTGCATCCTTATATATTAAAGCCCATGTGTGCACTTTTCATGTTATTAGTATGTTCAGCGATATATGGAGAACTTAAAAATACGGACAATTGTTGAAAAAAATGTTGGATATTTTAAATGAAGTAACTAAATTTTATCTAAAGAAGGCAAGTATAAATAAGGGCTTATTCGAATGTAAAAACATTTTTAATTATGTAAATGTTGAGACGAGCACTAAAAACAATGTTAAAACTACGGAAAGTACACAAAACTAATGGCGTCATCATCCAGTTTTTTTAGAATATGAAGAAATGAACTATTTGATTTAGATCTATAGATCTACTTATCAAGACAAACTCTATGTAATAGATACATTTTTCTAGACCAAAAGTAACAATAACTTTAAAAAGTACTATTGAACAGCCTGGCTTTTAACATAATCACTTAAGTAACTAAATCAGTGTGTGCATTTAATATGGTGATGTGTTGACTAATGTATGCTATTTGGTTTTTGAAGCCTATGTTATTTCAAATGTGTCTGATCTTTGCTATTTAGTTATCTCTTCGCTTTGTCACTAATATCGATCAGGGTGTAACAATAAAATGTATAGTACCATAATTAATGTGTAACGGGTACCAAATATTAGTAGTTAATAGGAAAGAACACATTGTATATTGTTCAGCAACTGGTGGGTCTGTGATCCTACTGAATCGTCTTCAAAAAGTGCATAAATAATTCATATGCAAAATTAGGATTGTAGAGCTTATAACAGCTAACCCTAAAGTCTCAAGTTTGGATCCTAGGCCAGTCTGAATAACATCCCTGAGTCTACCCAACTCTGATGGGTACCTGACATGTAAGGGAAATTAAGTGGCTGGGCTAGTGCTGAAAACACCATGCTTAGGTCAATAAACCAGATAAACTCAACTTCATCTGTCCCATATCTTAGACCAGAAAATGAAAAGATTATAAAAAGAATTTTATTCACTACAAATTTAAAAAAACAATTCAAAGATTTCTGGGTTACTTATTTATTAATTAATACATAATAATAGATCCAGTAACTATGGCTCAGCTTCATCAAAGTTTTTCAGAAACAACTCTCCTCTCTTCAAGTGTTTCTGATACAGTATCTGGGATAAAACTTCCTAAAACTTCTTTTTGGACATCATCAGTGGCTGCTGCATCTGTCACTTCAGACTCGTTTATTCCAGCAGTTTCAGATGGACTAACTTCAGTTTTGGCTTCTGAATCCACATGGCAGATTGGTGAAGGTGATGTTTTGACCGGGCTCTGAAGAAATGTAAATAGTATTAAACTTATTTTTTTATGAAACCAAGATCATCCCCATTCATTTTCATTTGGTTAATCATGTTGTTCAATTTAAAGTTGATAAAACTATAAAAAAAAAAAAGTAGGTTACCGAATTTCCAACTTTACTGTTTTTGGTTATATGTGCCCATGGTTTCTCTGGACCTTCAAGTCTTGGCATATCAAAATTATGAAATTGTAATGTTCTTAACCAGTTAAACATTCTGAGATGTCAGTTAAGGATATGTTGCATTTAGAATTCTTTTAAGAAAAACACTAGGGAGACCTTAGTTCTTCAAGATTTCTATTATAATTCTGGGTAACATCAAATTATTTATTCCTGAAACTGATTTAACAAATAAACCATGCATGTTTCACACTATGTACAAACTAAACCTAAACTTGACAGTATGTTTTTAGGAATATGATGATTTTAAAAGTAATAATACCAAACCTACTAAAATATGAGCTCAGTAATAAAAAAAAAAGAAATAACAATTCAACTTTATTAATAGAACAAAAAAACCTTTACAATTTTAAAAAAAACTTTGATAAAAGCATTAGTTGCTAAAATATCTTAGGTATTACTTTGTTAAAAAAGGAAGTTTTTTAAAATATCTATTTTAATATCATTACATTTTAAAACTCATTATTGTTAAGGTCTTTTATATTATATTTTCAAGTTTAGTAATTCGTTATTAATGAAGTTGACACCACCACATACTACTAAAATATTTAACAACTTGATTGCAGTTTGCTACCTCTCATCACCTTTTTTTCCCTTTAGTGCCTAAGACATATAGGCCACCACAGAAATCTCTTTCCACTTTGGCTGGACTTCCCCGTTTCTTCTTCATTGAGGCAACCAGCTAAGCGCTTTCCTGTAATATCATCTGAACTCTCTCTCAAAATGTGACCATCTTTTAATAATTATTTCTGAAATGGCTTCCAATTGCATTTCTCCAAGTAATCTATTATTGGAGATGCTGTTGGACCAGTAGATGCCTTTTATCCTATGCAGGCACTTAGTCTGGTAGAAGTTATTACTTTTCAGCCCATGCTGCCATACAGTAGGGAGCTAAGGACCACTGTTAAAAAATCATTTTATGGAAGCCTTATTTAATTAATTAGAAGATGTATGATATGTTCTTGTGTTGTCTTCGGGGAACAGATTTCAAAACTAAATAAAAGATAAAAGATTTTGTAAAAACAGGATACACTTTTTCAGATTTTTCCTTCTCAACTATAGATGCAATTATCTGTTCTTCTTTAAACTTCTCCACAACATCCTGGAAGAGACAAAAAATTAAGATGGCATTAAAGAAACTTCATAATGATACTGATGTGTGAATCTGATTCATATGTGGAGTTTGCCTTTGAGGTTTCTTTTGTGTATGTGTGATGGTAGATAAATATAAGTATATATTGAGGGGCTAGACCAAAGTTTTTGTGAAGCTAATATACATCACCCTGCATGAATCCACACATGAGCTCATTGGATAGCAGATACATGTACTTAATTTAATAAGAAGAATTTATTGCTTATGTAGTTAAACTGAATAAAAAAGGTATTTTCTCATTTAAGAAACAATTTTTGCATAACCAATTTCAAAAACAAATAATTAGCAAAATGTGGTTTTTGTTAGTTTTCTAACCTCATAGCTGGACCAATCAATAAGTTCATGTACTCCATCACTACCAAACTTTTGGTTATATCCATTAAAGTGAAGCTATCAAAAGAACAAAAAGCATGATAGAATTAGTTTGAATCTTGAAGCATGATAGAATTAGTTTGAATCTTGAAACGAAACATAATTTGATGAGGAAAACAAAAAGCTTAAATACAGACAACTGAACTAGTATTCGACAAACTTTTGAACAGGTTGAAAATATAGAAAAATGAATTACTTGTTCCAGCACCAAACCAAGTCCTGGTGCTTTTGGTATATCAACCTGCCAGATAAATAGTGAATTACATTAGGTCAAATCAGTGCTGTTTGGTAGCTATTTCAAAGCTCAAGACTTGATTAACAAGATTATGAATAAAAAATAGTCTACTATTTAGTCTGCTGAAATATGACTCCGGTTTACAAAAATTACCAAACTCACTATTCTAGATATTTATTGTTAATAATACTAATTAATTGTTAATTAATATTAATTGTTAATAGTTTTAATAATTTGAAACTATACTCACTTTTTCAGGGCCCCAGCTTGAATCAATAACAGACTCTCCACAGTATCCCCGAAGTATTGCAATTGTTAAGCCTAAAAAGTTGTATTTACATTTTTTTTAAAATTACTTTTGAAACTTCAAAGAGAAAATCAAGTGTAATTATTAGCATCTATGATTAAATGAGAGGAAACCAAGATTTAAAACTTTACCTGATAATGATATTAAGCTTTGGATTATAAATCTTTTACAAAAAAGCTTTTGTTTGTCAGGACTGAATACTAATTATAAATATTATGTTCATGATACTTAGCATAAAAACAGATAACTGTTATGTTCAAGATACTTAGCATAAAAACAATGAGAGAACATTACCTATCATCTTACGAATGTGATGTAACATAAAACTTTGACCTTTGACACGCAATGTGACAAACTCAAGGCCATCTCTGACATATGGTTCTGAACACTGTGGAAAAAATATTTTGTACAAGCTAGCATATTGGTTTAAGAAAATAAACAGGTGTATTTCTTATTTATAGCTTATTATTTAGTAAACAAAATTACCTCAAATTTAATGATGTACCTTGAAGCACATGCTTGTTCATATTTCCTGTGTAAAATGTAAATTATTATATGATGTGATTAGCAATAAGTTTTTTTTTTTTTCAGTTTTGTAGAAAGACAATATATGACTAACCCTTGATTTACTCAATCAAGTAAGGATAGATTCCATGACGGCAATATGCTTCACCAGATGAGTTTTTAAGTAAATCACAGCAAAATGTGTTACACAATATTACTGGTAGAACATTTTACATTCTATATAATGAGGTCTGATATAACTACATTAGTATCATTATTTATTTGTAATTTGTTACATTTATTAAAAGGCTGCAAATTTAATATCTATGCATTTTAAATGGTCTTTAGTAATATTTCATGTCAATTTAAAATAATGTAAGGAGATATTTGTGAAGACTTACACGCCTGATGTGAAGTTATGAAATTTGTGGGTTCCCTTAAATCTTGTTAGGATTTCTTGTACTCTTTGCAGAATTTCAGCTGCCAAAAAAAGTTCTCAAAATATAAACCAATCTTTTAGAATTTAAAAAAAATATTGGCTCTCAAATAATGTTTTGTTATTTTCATTTAGAATTTTTAAAAGGGGAACAGCTTGAAGGGACTTAACACTTGACTTACGTGTTGTTCTGTAATCCTCTGTGATAAACTAAAAAGTGAACCATAGTTATGTCAAAGTTAGATTAGACTGAAGTTAGGCAACAAGTTTAATGAATTATTCAAATGAAACCAACAAAAAAAATTCACAACTGTGAAGATTTATATTTTTAACTTTGAATTTTTCACTTTAGCTTTATAGCTAATACAAATGACATTGTATTTTTAAGCAAATAACTGTGGTTAAAAAATCCTATCACTAAGGTAAGAGTACAATAAACATTTCAAATGACCTTCTCCAGTGGAGCAAAAGCAAATGTTGGCATCATATACATGTATGTTCGGCTGTCACAATACTTTTTAGAATCAAAGCCATTTGTTGTGCGAACATATCCTGTAAAAATAGTTATAATTTTGCAACAAAATAAATAATAATAGCAAAAGTTTTCATGCAAAAGATATTGTAAAACCACCAACCTATGGATCTGATCTGAGGTGGCAGAACTTCATTTAGTCTTGTTATAAGATCAGGAACCAAAGTAACTTAAAAAAAAAGAAAGTTAAAAATCTGATAAGTAATTTATAATTCTAAACAACTGGATGCCTTATTTAATGTATTCCAACATACTTGATGCATGTTGTTGCAATTTCAGAAGACATGAAATTCAATGATTTACATTGTGTCATTTTATTTAAAGTTGTTATTAATTTTAATATGCGACCCACTGGTTATACTTCACTACAGACCGAGCGCCCTGTTACAGTTTGGACATTGATTATAGTAGCTCACCATATCCCTAATGTTCAGCACTCTTTGCTCAAACGTAGGTGCCATAGTGCTCACACAGGAGCCATGGCTGATGAAGAACAACCCTGGAGCAGCACTGAAAATAACCCTGTGCAGGACGCCCAATCAGCTGACCCCAGGTGCTAAGGGAGCAGCAGGAGAACTTGGGATGCCCAACCGCACATTACTACTGTGGCATTACTCCTCTAATATTTAATATTTTAAATGACAGAAACCCTCCAAAAGTTTCATGGCAATTGGATGAATGTTGTAGTAATGCATAAAAGACAGACAGACAGACAAAATATTATTTATATATTTATATAGATTTAGAAATAAATTTTAAATCTTTACAACTGGTGACAAGATGATTTCTTGAACCATGCTTACATTTTCTCATTGCGAAATAAAAGTTGAATACATTTATTCTTATGAACAGTAACTATCTGTCACTCTTTTAATACAATAAGGATTAACGATAGTTTGAGTCCACTAGTAGGATGGTGAAGAAAGTAGACAGATGGCTGTAAAAGAATACTTATCTTCATTGAGAAGATTTGCCCAGCTGCAGAGACTCCTTTATCTGTTCTGGACCCTCTCTGGAACCACATCTTGGAGGGTGTGTCTGCATGGTCCTGGGGTACTGCACCAATTTTCACCAGGGCAGGGAAAAATTCACTTTCGATGGTTGGAAAGCCAGGATTGCTTAATACAAATATTTTTCAATCATTCATCAGTAATGTCAGTGTCTATTAAAAAAATGGACTATCATACAAAATATATAGCATTTACCACTTAAAGATTGTGACTTTAGGAACAGTGTTAAATTCATTAAGTACAAAACTGGATTAATAGCATTAATATATAAATGTATTTAAATTAAATTCAAATAACCAAAAAGCATATTTACATCTGTACACCATAATAGCCATTTCCATTGTATGCAACAAGCATTGCTATTTTTCTTTTGCAGCCCTCAGATTTGCCTAACTGAACCTGTATATTACCAAATAAAAATTTATTTTAATTGTTTTATCCTTTACAGTATATATATATATTTTTAAAATGTAAACATGCATGAAAAAAAATATACCATTTTAGATCATGTTTTTTGCCTATTTAAAATTCTAGAAATTGCACTAATTCTTGTTTCAAATTTGACAAAAATATTGTTAACAAACAAGGCAACCCCAAAACAGAGCTATAATTAAATGCATAATTACAAACAAATACACATCATTCATAGCTTAGAAGAATATACTTGATACTATTCTAGAACTGACACGGTTTGGAAGGTATTACATGTGTTTGTTTATGACTATAATAATTTGTTCAAATATTGGCTATTTGTGTAGAATCGAACAATATGTTGCACCTTCTTAAGGAGAAAATCCAACAGCCTCATAATAATCTATATTCTTAATATTCACCTCAAATAAAAAGGTAAATAATTTTTTTTTTAAACTCTTAATAAGTCAAGTAGGGTGTTGTGTGGGGGTGGGGGGTATAAGATAAAGCCAATGAATACCAGGCCATCTGCTTAATACATAAAATTGACACAAATTTTGCTGATGAAAATTGTTATTGAATTACAAAAAAAGTAGTTTCCCTTTCTGACCTAGTGGTCAATAGAGTTTGCCTTTTCTGTGACCTCGGATAATGTGGTCAGCACTATGAACAGCTACCTTTATTTTCCCCAACATGAGTCAAATAAGGCCTCAAGGTTATCCTAAGTACTCAAACCCAAAGTTATACTAAGTACATACCACATGAGCTTTCTTTTTTTTCTTGGACTTCACTTCAGCTGAGATGTCATTCCCTTCCTCTCCTTTTCTTTTCTGTTTCATAAATCATCAGATAACAGAGATCAATGCATTTTAATTCTATCAACTGTGTATTGTTTTTAGTATACTTATACAAGCTAACATTTCAACTATATTTATACATCTGAAAATGAGCATTGATAATGCTTAAGACCTAATAGACTAAAACAATAAAAAATAGAAAACTAATGCTCTCACCTTCACTGAAACTGGTCCAACCAATACTTCTGACATTTTTATGAAAATTGGCTTAGATTGTATGAAATTTAATATTCTTTTTAGCATCACTGAAAAGCAAAAAAAAATATTGGTCTAATTTTTAGGGGTAGTGATCTGACTGATGTTATCAAGGTATGGATTAGGCCTCTACCAGTGTCCATAATAATGAAATCTATTAAAAGGTATGTAATGGTACTTCATACTTGTCTTGTATTTTATTAGCAAAAATTTATACTATAACTTTCCTCTGGTTACTAATGTCAACACCAATTGCCTATTCCAAACCCCACTATCTGCTTTACCATAATAATGAAAACTTTAAAAAGGGTGTTACATTACTGGTAGTTAAATGAATAGTAAATATTTAGAATTTTTTTGGAATATACTTTAAACAGTGTTGTCATCCTCTTCCCCCAACCCTACTCCAAAAAAAAAAGGAAAGGTCTAAAATGGAAGCATTTGGGCAAATGTTTGTGGACATCATAAATTAAGGATGACCCCTTACAATGCTACAAGCAACCTAACCCACCTATCTTAAATATAATGAAATGTCTACTGCCACACACTGGAATAGTAATACCAATACTCCTCTACACTCTACTCTAGACAAAAGCTTTGTAGTATGACTGTTCTACAACAGCATCAGAGGCATTACCAGGGGCTACGGATTATTTTTAGGACTGTGGCACTTTTTTTGGAAAGCTAAATAAAAATCAATTTAAAAAAGCAAAAACAGTCAGTGACGAATGACTAAAATAATGAAGGTGAAATGGTGAGGACTATTTTTCAGTCATTGACAGTATCTCTCTGTTGGTTAATAAAAGAAACAATTTCAGAGTTTGTACCTCACTGTTGGTTGATGTTTTTTGCCTATCTTGAGGACGCCATTAGTATATCTTTCTCTATTTTTTAATGAAGTCATCTATATTAATGTTGGTATCTGTACTAAACTATTGGTTAATGAAGGTGTCTATCTTGTGGTCTGCATCTGTATTCAACTTATCTGTATCTGTACTACTTAACTGTTGGTTAATGAAGATGTCTATCTGATTGATAACATTGATGTACAATATCTGTGTACGATCTGTTTGAATAGTTTTAACCATTGCTCTATCACTCATTTATGTTGTCAAAAATGAGGTCAGGTTGAAAACAATGTTGTCTTTGTCAAATTCTGACTTATTGAAGTAATAGTACTTTTAGCATTTAGTATTAAATAATAATAATAATAAATAAATATAAAAACAAATAAATAATTGATCTATTAATTATTATGCCCTAATTAATAATTTTAAAATAATTTAGGGCCTAATGGGATGATAATAGTTTTAATTTTTTTATTAAGCCTGTCTTATTTTAATTATAGTATACTTTATAAAGTTTATACTTTATACTATAAGCTTTATAGCATAGCCCAGGCTTAATTTTTATATTTTAAAAATAAATCAATTTATAGTAAAATATAGGCCCTTATTTAAAAATTAAAAGTTGGATTCTAGACAGAAAAACATGCATGTGCTTAGATACAGCTAGGTTGATGAAATTTCATATATAAGTATTGTATTAAATTTGTAGTTCTGTATCAACTTTTCAGCGATTTCTGATAACCAGAAGTGGAACTTATTCTACTTTATTTTTCAAAAGGCTATAACTTGAGTACTGTTTCAGATAGATAAATAAAATTTTGCATGTAAGTAAAAGATCTAATTCTCTGCCTTCTGTCAAATTTTGAGTAATTTCCATTGACCGGAAGTAGTAATTTAGGCTATTTCAGATTTCTCAAAAACCACATATGAATTTATAAAGTATTAATATTCCGCACTAATATATACATATTACTTGTCATTCACTTGGTGTGCAATTTTTTTTCTACGGGATTCTATTCTATTTTAAAAAGTTTAAGTATTTAGAAATTGATTAAAAATCGTATCTATTTCCCAAGTTGCCATCCCCCGTAGTGTTATATAAGAATATGTGAAATTTTTTTAGGGGAGATCACTCCCGCTTTTTTAAACATTACAGTTCATTCATTACTAGCCATGGCCGATTTTATGTACCTAAAAATCCTAAAATTGATTACCCTCTTAGTCTTACTTATTTATTATCATACTCGTATTCTATAATAATAGTTTCACTATTCTGTCACTCTATCTGTTGGGAATGATTTACTATAGGCAAAGTAAAAATTTTCAGTCAAACGAAACGTGAAGTCACATGAAACATATAGATCTAGTAGGAAATATTCTAAAGCTGGGAAAGTACACAAAATAATATGACGTCATTGATTCTAGAGTAAACATAGAATTAAAAACCAATGCCGAAAAAATACACAACCATACTGAAATTAAAATTTTCCGGGAAAGGGGGCGGACACTGGTAAAAGTATATTTTCTATATAAACTCTGTGTAAACTCTGTCTCCCCCCCCCCCCCCCCCCCCACCCCTCATACGCTCAACCGGAGGTGATGCGAATAAAATACACTAAAATGGAGTTTTACCCTAAAATAAAACTAAATACTAAATAGGCCTACTTTAATTTAATTAAAATTATCACCTAAATTAATTAATACGCATGCGTATCTTATTCCGGCTAGAATCGGCCATTTAATATTTATTATTAGGGCCTAACTTAATTTAACAATTTAACTTATTAATTCATATTTAATATTATTAATAATATTAGGCCTAACTAAAAAAATGTCTAAAACTAAGCTCACCTTACGCCTGACTGCTTACTTTACTTTACACCATGTAGCCATGTATGTAAATTAAAATTAAAGTATTGATGATACTAGATCTATAACTATTTTACTAGTCTAGATTAGATCTAGATCTAACTAACTACTACTACTAGTACTACTACTAGATCTACACTTAAAACTTTAAAAAACTATACTTTATACTAGTATTACTAGATCTAGATCTATGCTTAAACTGATTTTCTAAATGCACAAGTCAATTATCTAGAACGAGAATTTTTGCTGGTGGTAGGGCCTGCTGTTTGTAGTTTGTACAGAGGTGCATGGAGCATCTTATGAACGAAACTAGATCTAGAATTTTTAATTAAGAGTCACTTCCCTTAGGCCCACACTGTCTGGGTGCTCTCCTGATGACTGGCAACTCAAAAACTATATTTATTTCTTGTTTTCGGTATGGTATAATTACACCCGCCCACTCATTACACATGCACACACTTAAACATAAAAAGATTTGTACGGATTGCACGGGCTTTATTCATTGTTGTAAAAATATTAGAAAAACGATGATGGCGTATTGAGCCCTACGCTCACGATAAAAAACATTTGTAATTGAACTATATATAATAAGAGGTTCTTAACCTGGATTCGATCGAACCTAAGAATGATTTGCGGTCGGATTTTGTCCAGTAGTCGACTTATGACTTTTGTGATGGTACTTCGTGTGATCTCTTTCATAATATTTTAATCCATTCATACTAGAATCTAACTAAGTCGAGCAAAAAAATTAATTAATTAATAAAGTGGTCGGAATATATATAATATTGGCTCACATGTAGGCCCTATGACGGAACTTGATGGGAGTGTGTCCTAACTTCGTGATTTGCAATGCCAAGTTGAGCAAATTCTAGTCTAGTACCGGCAAAACTAAGAATATAGCATTTCCTTAAGCCTTAATTATCAATACTTAAGCTGCATGAAGATGGAAAATGCAAGAAATTTTAAAATAACAGCAAAAACAATTCAATTTATCTTTAAATGCAAAAGTGTTGTGTCACACCTTCTGACCCCCACCCCCCTCCCTAACATCACCTCAAAAATCAGAGCACAACATAGATCTACCACTCATAGATCTAGATCTATAAGGCATTTCTCCACTGTTCAGATAAATTTTTTATTGCTATGTACGGAAAGAAAATATCAGTTATCACATGCGTGTAGGCTTAGATATGTATGTTCTTTTCTTGTGTTTTCTAATATTTATACACTATTTTTAAAAGTTTTATCTGGCAATCTTTACTGTGTGTTAAGTAATAATAAAAGTAAGGCCTAGTTTTCGTGTCTGTAAATGTCATGATCGCCGGCTGTTAGGCTAGTTAATAGATCTAGAATCTAGTGCTAGATCTAGTCTAGTTATACATAATACATAAAGGTCTAGCAAATAATTCGTCTACCTTAGCAACATTGAACTGTCTAACCCAGGCTTAAAGGCTACTAGCAAACGAAACAGCTAAAATGTCAACGGCATCGTTTTTTCACAAATTGCGTAAGTTCTAAGTTGAACTTGAACTAAGTTCAACTCATCTCTCTAGTCTAGTCTAGATCTAGATTTCTAGAGATCTAGCATTCTAGATTCTCTATGATATCTAGACTAGATCTAGATTTCTAGATTAGATCTACTGACTCTAGTCATCTAGGCTTGGTTATACATTATTAACATTTATTATTATTATACTTTAACTTATTTACTATATATTATATATTAATATTTAATATATATTTAATATTTAGTAATATTAGTAATAGGCCTAAGTTATTATTTTTAAATATTTTTTGTCTGAGAACATTGTGACTGACTCATCAATGCAGACAATAGTGACTACTGGACTACTGATTGTTACTTTACTTTGTTAGGTTACATTTAGTTAGTTAGACCTATACATTACAATACATCTTTACATTACTGTTACAGAACTGAATCTATGACAATGATATATATAATATAATATATTCTCATTCTTAGCTATGTGAATTCATATAATTTAGGCCTAATAACGAAATAAGGATTCATATAATTTTGACCTTTACATTTAAAATGCAAATGCATTTTTAAAGCTTTATTTGTTTTTTTAATTCTAGGTCCTCACACTTCTCTCCACTCAATGTCTGGTGTAGCTGGACCAAAATATTGGCTAAATGCCATTATACGCCAGATAAGTACTTCAGGGAAAGCTCCTAAGACTGGTATTATGATGATGAATCTTGGTGGCCCAGAAAACCAACAGGAAGTTCATGATTTTCTGCTTCGTTTATTTATGGATAAAGATCTAATTCCACTTCCAGCCCAGTCTCAATTAGCTCCTATGATTGCAAAAAGAAGAACACCACGTATTCAGGCACAGTATGCCAAGATAGGTGGGGGCTCCCCAATAAAGCGTTGGACTCAGTTACAAGGTCAAGGCATGGTCGAAATTCTTGATAAAATAAGCCCAGCTTCAGCACCTCATAAGTTTTACATTGGTTTTCGATATGCTAACCCATTAACTGAAGATACTATAGAACAAATGACTGAAGATGGTATTCAACATGCCATTGCTTTTACACAATATCCACAGTATAGCTGTTCCACTACAGGAAGTAGCCTCAATGCTATTTATAGATACTACAATAAAAAAGGCAATCCTGGAAATATGGTTTGGAGTGTTATTGACAGATGGCCTACGCATTCTGGTTTAGTACAAGCATTTGTTGAGAATATTAAGGCTGAAATCAAACGTTTTCCACAAGAAGATCAAGATGATGTAGTAATTCTGTTCTCTGCCCACTCTCTTCCAATGAAAGTAGTAAATCGAGGAGACCCTTATCCAACTGAAGTTGCAGCTACTGTGCAAAAAGTAATGGAAGAGCTGGGCAATAGCCATGCTTATCGCCTGGTGTGGCAATCAAAGGTAGGACCTTTGCAGTGGTTGAGTCCACAGACAGATGATGCCATCAAAGGCTTAGTGAACAAGGGAAGAAAGAATATTCTGCTGGTACCTATTGCATTTACCTCAGATCATATTGAGACACTATTTGAACTTGATCTGGAATATTCCCATGAATTAGCATCTCAAGTAGGTGTCAAGAATATTAGAAGAGCAGCAAGCCTTAATGATAGCCCTGTATTCATCAAAGCATTAGCAGATATTGTAAAGCAGCACATTGACTCTCAGTCATGCTGTTCACCACAGTTAATGTTGCGTTGTCCAATGTGTGTTAATCTCACCTGCGGTCCAGCAAAAGATTTCTTCCATAATCAACAAGACCAACTTGCAGAATATTTCAACAATGGTGTTAAAGTAAGCTCCAAAGTCTAAGCAAAAATTGTTGCTAAGTAATTAGAACAAGTTCCAGTTAGTTTGCTACTTGTTTTTTTAGTTATATTATCATTGTCACTAGGAGATGCATTTTTTCACTGATTAACATTTTTTCACTGATTAAAATTAGTTATAAAAGTTTATTACTCTTGTTACAATTGCATTCTGATACATTACTCAGAATTTAAGTTTTGTTAAGATCTTTATATTTTACTTTTGCATGACAGTTCTTAAAATGCATGGAATTAATTTAATAACTGATATTGCTATTCCTGATTAATATTTTAGTAAGTTTGTAACTGATTTCAATCCTTTTGTTTGCTATTATTTCATATTTGCTGTTACTTTTATGGTTGTGGTTTTTTAGATTTTATTTTCAAACTACCATTTACCATCCTACAGTTATTGGATATTTTAGTCTTGGCTTGTGTTTGACCTATTAATAGAATAAATAGATATATCAATTTAGATTGTAAATGTTGTAAACATTAACATGAATACCCACAACTCATACAATTTACATCATGATGTGGTTAATGTTTTTAAAATAGACTATATCTAAAATCCAAACTTACAAGCTTAGTTTAACAAACTATTTAAAAAGGTGTAGCCTATTTTTGGTGCCATAATTCATTTTTAAAAAATATACTTTTCATACACATGGAACAGCACATGTAGCTAATTATTTTGTTTTTAAATTATAATTGCTGTGTTTATTTAGTAGGGTACCAGAAATTTTTAAAAAATCCTAGTCATGTAGGCTGTGAAATGTGAAATTAAGTTTAAATGGTTAATGCTGAGTTTGATATTTAAATGGTTTCTATAATTTTTTTCTTTGCATGAAATAGTTTTGTTTTCGTTAATGGTTTGGTATTTTATTTTTGTGTTGGTACATGACGATACATTAAACAGAATCATATTATCTTACATTAGGGATAACTATTATTATCCAAAGTACAGTGAATAATAAAAATAGATTCTAGCAGCATGAGATAACTTGTTTCTTAAATGGTTTTAACACATTAGGTTGTCCAGAAATGTGGTGTAGAACAAAAGGCAGATAAAACAGAAAGCTGACAAGTCTGACAAAAAAAATCCATATATCGCCACGTCATAACACATTCGCCTTCACGTCATTTTTTTAAAAACGGGGGGGGGGGGGGGGGGAGGAAATAAAAAATAACAAGTATTTTTTTCTGCTATGATAAATAAATAAAAAAAAAAACAGTTTTCTGAATGGCTAAGCGATTCGCCATATAATAGAATAATGTGTAAACATTGTATTTCAACTATTAACTCAACCCCCCCCCCCCCATCTCAAAAATGACTTGGGCGAATGTATTTTGACTGTTATGACCATGAGGATATCACAAAATCTGTGTTACTATTGTACAGCAGAGCCCTATCTATAATCTATATCAATGAGGTGAGAATTCCATCAAAACACATTTGGCACAAAAATGAATTTAGTTATATAACAGTAATAGTAAAGCTTAAATCAAACACTGCTTTCAGCTCTGTTGAAGTTTAGCCTAGCACTACATATCAAAAGGTATCTAGTATTAATTTTTTTGCAAATTTTGTTCTAATTCTTATCAAATTAGATTCTAAAACAAAAGGAGTTGCAAACTTTTCAGATTTCACTATTTAATTCTTCACAAATATTTTCAATGAACATAAAACATGAAAAAATATTTCACAATCAGCTACATTAACTAGCTGGCATATAATTTGGATCCAAGTAGTTATAATCAGTTTTAGTATAACTCATATAGTCTGAATCCAAAACAGCATGTTTAAATGGTTGCAGGCGATGACTGGAATCATGATTATCCTGTTGAAATGTTCTGTAATAAGAAATAACATAGTAATAAGGAATTGATTTATTAATTCAGTGTATACAAAAACTATCAGAAGGCTACTTAGTTTTTTAGTTGTAACAATTTTTTGTTTGAATTATTTGTATTGTTTAGTAGTAATAGTAATACTAGTAGTAATAGTAAACTAAATGAGCATTGACAGTAATGGTTTCATACTTACACAACACTACAATCATCACAAAAATCAAAAGATAAATTTGGAGGACAGTCGATACAATGCCATCTTGTGCCAACAATAGGTTCACATCCACAGTTATCACACTATAAGTTACATAAAAAAGTTAAAATCAAAGTATTGCATCACATTACTTTAATGTACCCTATTGGAAATAAGAGTAAAAAAAAAACTAATAATATTTATAAAAAGAATTACCCTAATTGAATATTGTGGCAACATTTAGTTTTAATTTTGACTGTATAATGTAATTGTTTTCTTTTATAAAACTATATGTACGTAAAGTAACAAATACCTTAAAACCAATGTGTCTAGCAACTACAGACTGCTCTTGGGCTATTTTTTCTTTTCTGAGTCTTCTCAGCTGTTGTAGTTCTTTGTATTCTGCACTGTTCAGAACTTCTTCAGGATAATTATCTTCATCCTTTTAATTAGAACAATAACAGCTTCTTAGATGACATATTTCTTATAATTACAAAAAATAAATTTTACAGATTATCAAATATTTATAATTTAAGCCACCTACAGAAGAGTCGCCTTTTTGACTATTTGTCTCTGATGTCCCAGCATTCTCCAAAAAGCTTTGAATAGGTGCTCCTGGATCTTCCCCATCCTCTTTCATCCACACAGGTGGAACGTGAGATTTTAAAAATGTAGAACAGGAACCATACATGCGGCTGTAACGATGATGGCGATGGGAACCCTGTCAAGCATCAAGAACTTAAAATACTGCTGAATGATTATCGAACAACACAAATTACCTATCATACAATAACAAATGGCAGAGCTTTAGCCTACTAGCCACAAGTTAGGGTCCCTGGCTAGTCGTAGCAGGTCCCTGAGTCCACCCAACTCTGTTATGGAAAGGAAAGGCAGCTGGGCATAGTCCTGACCACACTATCCCTTTCTATGCCGAGGTCACAGAATTTAACTTCACCTGCCCCTTGGACGATGAAGTCTGAAAAGGGAACTCATTTTTTTTTTACCATCACAAAGCAAACATTGATAAAAATATAATTACCCTTTTAGAGTATGCTGTAACGTTAGGCATTCGCCCAGGAACAGGCAATCCTTCCTTTGCCAATTTTAAAAAATACTTTTGTACTCTGCTGGCTACCTAAAAGATATTAAAGTGGGTGCATAAAAACAGGCTAAGCTACAGTATTTTTATTCTAAGCATGATATTGTTTTGCAACTTTTTAAGGTGAATATGGGCTCAAAGTAAAAAGAAAGCTTAAAAATTATGATTATTTTTCTTACTTGTATTGGAGTTCTATTACCCAAAGCATCAGCTATTTTAGCCCACCGCCGAGATTCTATTTCTTCTGGTGGAAACTGAATTAGTAAACTCTCTAGCCTGGGAAAAAAGATGTTAAGAACTAATATTTGAGAAATAACTTAAAGGAAGAAAGTGAAATCCATTGAAAGATTAATCAATTTTGTTAATTTGATTGAGAATTATTTTTAAGAAAATTGTAATTATTATATTAATAATAAGAAAAAAATGCATGCTTTATATTTTATAACATGTCCATCATGTGTAACAATAAAACAAACAATTGCACAATATAAATTAAATAAGGCTTAAAGTAACCTTTGTTGTTCCTCATCTGTCCATAATTTATTAAAGGTGGCAGGTTTGGTGCTATCACGCTGCCGACCTCTCACAACAACTACTTCACTGTCTGATCCAGAGCGCTCAGCATTTAAAGATGATGCTGATGAACTTAAGCCCAAAGCCAGTTTTGATTTTAAACTCTGCACCTGATCTAAAATACAGTTTTTTAATTAAATCAAATTTTTAAAACTAGTAAAACTTGGCTTATTTGGTTTTTATCACCTGCCCATGCCCTTAAGTCAATTACTGTAAATTAAGGTTATCTAAAAAGAATCTATATATGATGTACAACCACCCAAATAGAAAAGTGTAAATAGATTACCTCCTTGGTCTGGTGCATTTTTTTTATTTCTGGTCATGTGACGAGAAGTACCAAATGAAGTGAAGTTAGCACTAGTTGTGTACTTGTCCCATTGAATATCTGGGAGTGGAGAAACCTTTTGAGGTTTGGGTAAACACAAATCTTTCCCATTCTGGAGGTTTTTGACAAATGTCAAGGGATCTACCAAGGCCTCATCTTGGGCCTTGTAAAGAGTTTCTATATCCTGTGCTGCTTGCTGTCTCTGAGCTTCCAATATAGCAATAGTGTGAAGCAAATTTCGATAGTCAGAATTTTCTTTAAGTGCAAGGTGGTCAGACTCAAAGTAGTATGGTTGATTAATTTCTTCATAAGAAAAGCTTGTAGCATCCATCTACTTATTTATATATTGCTTAGATCAGTACATAAAGTCTGCAATAAATATAAATGTATCCAATTACATACTTTTTAAAGCAAAATGCACATTGGCTTCTTGATACCAGGCTAGAAATTACCATCATGAAAATAATATTATGTTCATTGAGATTCAGCCTGACAATTGAATAATTAACATCTCTAAACATTCACCTAGCATTTTTTGTGTGTGCCACAATGCAGAACAACTTCAACAAAATAGTTACATGGTTAAGAAGTGGCTAGGCAGAAAATGTTCTTGTTTTTAGTAAGCCTACTCCTCCAGCAGAGTAGTTTCATAGATATTTTGTTTAGATATAGGCCCATCTAACTGCTAACCTAATAACTAATACGAAGTGTCTACTCGGAATAAGATTTTTCGGCAAAAGATAGTTCTGCGCATGCGCAGTGACCTATGGCTAGGGTTAGGGCTAGAATGAGGGTTAGGGGTAGGATTAGGGATAGGGATAGGATTAGGGTTAGGGATAGGATTAGGGCTAGGGTTAGGGATAGGATTAGGGATAGGGTTAAGGATAGGATTAGGGTTGGTATTAGGGTTCTGCGGTTGTAAACACACGCATGCGCAGTACCATCGAAAACATCGCCGCTAAGGCAAGTCGTAGTTTCTCTCCATTGCGCATGCGTATCGCATGCGTATCTTATTCCGACTAGAATCGGCCTAACTAATAATGGCTTCATAATATTTGATACTGTTCACATGATACTTGATACTGATGACTTTAGCCTATATATGTCATATGATATGATACTCTATATAACTAACTACAGCTAGATCTAACCAGGGGAGGAGCTACTGAGCAACCAGATCCTACGGTGCGGCGGGGGGGGGGGGGGGGGTGTGAGGGCACAGCCTACCATAATTAATATTTAAAATATAATAGTATTTTGCTTTGATGTTTGGTTTGTAAAAGAATACTGTAGCTGTGGTACTATTCACTTTATTTTACAGTCACTATAGCACTCTATTCCGCAAACATTAAAATCCACTACACAAACTGTTGTGTAAAATATAGGCAAAACATTAAATTTTTAATGACTTCTGTGACTCGTTGCTCCACTTTTGATAGCCAAATACTAAATAGGGGTCATGTAAATTTATATAGATCTAACACATTTACAAATTTGCATTAAAACTGTTTGACTGGTCCTCCAGAGTGTATTGGCCCTTGGGGCAGGATGAGGCAGTGGGTGAGGTTGAAACTACCGCTTTCCTTCGCTGCAATGTTTTAAATGGTACTGCACATGCATGTATTTACAAAAAAAACTGCATAGCCTTTACCCTAACCCAGTTAGATCTAGATCTAGATCTATTGAGTTTCGTAACTTCTGCTAACCAGATGGAGACGCTGGGGCGAAAAATCATTTTCCGAGTAGTGAGTAGTCAGAGTAGTCACTTCGAACATTAGTTTAGTAAACAGAACCTAGATTCTAGTATTCTAAGTACTAGTAGTAACTTTAATACTTGCTTAACCAAACATGAAATAAGAGAGATCTAAAATTAAATTCTACAAACTAGATATATAAATTAAATCATTAAATAAAACTCAATACTCACTTACGACTTGTGCTCTCTGTGTACACTGTACAGTGTGTAGATTTGCAATGTTGCAGTAAGAAACTTCAATCTACCTAACATCGCAATATCTGGTTTTAAATTCCAAATTCAAATTTTCATTTTATTTTCGAAAAGTTTATGCTGAACTGAAATTTAAGTTGCAGAAAAATAGTTATCACCTTAAAAAAAACTTAGCCTAAAATTTAAAATAAAATGCTTGCCGTTTGACAAAGATTAAATAAAGATAGATTATTTTCTAATAAGTGTAACCTTTTTTTTAAATAACTGAGTTATTCATAATTTATGTAATCACTTTAATCAGTATCGACAATATATCTCTTGGATCTTAGTTATTGGGGCGCGAGTATGTCTACTCTACCGTCCAGACGCCCCAGGACGGGAAGAATGAAAGTCTAGAGTCATTCTAGACCTAGAGTGTACGTCGATCACCCACAATGATGATAGTGAGGTAGAACACACCTCGATAACCACACATGTGTCACGGGCGTCGCGGGGCGATCTTGGTAGCCTACTGTTACACTAAGGGCGCCGCATGCGTACCCTAGTTCGGTCATAGTGGCGCCATCGTGCTAATAAGTCATAGTGTAATGCGCTCACCTATGTGGGACGCCAAAAGGGGTAGAGAAAATTTTTGAAAGTTCATTTTAAGCTGCAATTTTGAATTTTAAACAGTCAAAGGTAAAAAATTAAACGACTGCAGCCTTTACATACTGATTTAACTGTTTTCTAGCTTGATTATGTAACTGTAAAACAAATAGGCCTACCCTTAAGTTTAAGAAACAGTGACCGGCTAAAACCGCTCTCAAGCTTTACTCTTTTCCTAGATGGGGGCACTTTTCCGCCGACTAAAAAATCGAAAGGATTTACACTGGATTGGTGAGTAGATATAACCTTTACCACGTAGAAAAGAAACCAATAGTATTACAGCGTGTTGTACGATTGTGTAACATTAAAAAAGACTACCAACTTTATCCAAGATTGTGCGGGGTATGGGGTGCATTTCGCAAATTAAAAATCGCAAGGATTTACATCAATAAAACCAGGGGGGGGGAAACTGGTACAACACGACGACATCTACTGCTTTGTTAATTTGTTCAACCTACTGTTCAAATAAGCTTGCAACTTCTGCAAACTACACTATAAAGTGGTTCTTAACTTTTTTGGAGGTAGCGAACCCCACCAGTTTGATATGCGCATATACAGAACCTTTCTTAAATATTGTAATAGTTCTAATTCTATCGTGAATCACATGGGTCGGGTATGTGTCTCGACCCCCCGCTGAAGCCCCGATTGAACCCAGGTTAAGAACCACTGCTCTAAACTCTTTTGATTTGTTCTTTTTTTTTTTCGTTTCGGCCTCTTGAGGAGCGTGGGCAACACTTCGTAATCTCACTTGATTTTTATGAAGATCGAACCCTAACAATCCAGACACCCCATCTATATTTCAAACGATTTCCTTCATGACATGTTTGGCCTCCTTCTCTTCCTCTTTCCCTGTAGTAGTGTAGACTTCACACCGATTATTACTGCTTCCTCAACCAGTACAATTTGTTCTGCATTTGTTGTTGACTAAAAGCGAGAAGGCAGCGCACATATGCGAAATTTCCAGTTCCAGTTTTTTGCCGCTATCTAGTTGTTTTATTTTCTACTTATCAACAATTCATAATTTGTGAATACCCATGTCGTATAATGTTTATGATAATTTGCTATTGTGTGTTACTTGTATGACCATATTCTTACAAATTTATAATCCAACTATGTAAAAATTGTAATACCTCTTAACAGAGACTGTTCCAAAGATAAAGGTTGTTCCATAAAAATAAAAGGTTGGCCTAAACAAATTAGCGCCTGCTACAAACTACCCTCTAAACTCAGATCAGGCATATATTCTTTCTGTCATTATTAATCTTTTTTGAAAGAAAAACGCATCTTAAGGCGTCAAGTAAAGTTTTATTAGGGAACGAAAATCAGACACCGTAATTATTAAATCTTTTCCGGACTGACGCGCGCACACACAGACACATCGTCATATACAGGGCTTTTTTGTGACGGTACGCACCGGTACCTTTTTCAATGTGAGGAAAAAATTATTACTTTTCTTGTATTTTAACGTTTATCATTAATTTATTATATTATAAAATTGTTTTAGACATTTAGTATCTTTGCAGTTGTGATTTTAGCTTGGTGCGAACTGGGAGTTAAAAGTTAGGAAATCCAGCACTGAGTACCGGCACCTTATCACCTTTTTTTTTTTACAAAATAAACAATGTATATATATATGTAACGAGTCCCCGAGTCTATCCTGCCGACAACGCCAAATGTAACGAGTCTCTGGCTACCCTGCCGACAACGCCAAATGTGACCTTCCCGAGTCTAACCACTCATTCCACACAACATTGACCACAGCATAGATACTCGAAGATGCAGGTTCATTATTGATCCTTTTATTACATGAATCAAAGAATGCTTCACAATAATATAATGAATCAAGAGAGATGTTTCACAATAATAGTCTGAATCAACGGACCCCCAACAGTCCTCACTAGGCTTCATCTAACTGAATACACATGTCTAACGTCCTTCTTAACACCATATAACCAACGTGATACTGCCACACAGACTCACTGAGAGAGAGAGACTGACGGACTGACTGACAGACCTTCTGAGACCGACTTTCTGAGAGACTTTCTGAGAGACCTCGAGCTCAGCCGTCGCCTTCCTTATATCCCCTTCATAATCGTACTCATATTCGGTCCTATCATAATCGTAATTGTAATCGATTCTAATCGTTACATCAGACTGTTAATTACGCCGCTTCTGTCGTACAGTCCGATTTTAATAAGCCACCTGCATCCTGTCACATCAAAGTTGACAGACCGTCTTTCGTATCGCTTCCCGAGATATTACGCCTTGGCATCAGCCAACACCTGCACTGTGACGTCAGACTGTAACACGTTATGTCTCTTGGTAACTTCCCCTAGTTACATCCACCCCTGCCTTTTTTTTGTGTGTTATCAACCACAAACAACGCTTGGCAGGTGCAGTCCTTCAAAGTCCATCGCACCACCGTAAAAAAAATCCATTGTTCCACTCACTGTCAATGTCGTCACATTCGTATAAGATTGACAGTTATCCCTATTTCACATATCCAATGTGTCTACATCATCTTCCTCAGACACAAAACAGTTCTAGAATTCACATCCACCTTTTTTCGTTTGGTGCCTTCACCAGTTCACTTTTATGACTTTTTGAACAGTCTGTTTTCATACCAGCGCGACCATGAAAGAATTGATGGTTGCTGACAAAAAATTTCGTATTCTTTCTGTTTCTCAAACTTCTCCGCGGACCACTTATCTGATGGTCTACTGTCTCTCTGCTTTTGGAGGGACCGGGATCCTCCTTGTTGCCGGTATCCTCCCCTTGTGTGTCGCTGTTGTTCTGTTGATGGTGACATGGTTCCGGGATGGGTATGAGAATTTCCGTTATAGTTTCCGGTTCCCTAATTGTCTTGGGTTTCCTTGTGTGTAACTGCTCCTCTTGACTATGACAATATTTCTTTAATTGAGCAATATTCGCCCACCGATCCGGTTTGGTGTGATCGATGGGTCTTATCTTAAAGGGGCCACCTGCTACTTTAGGCATCTCCACGACTTGCCATATCTCCTGTCGCCAGAGGTCGTGGATTTTGTTTCTGCCTAACGGGTGGCTACGCAGTAATACCCTGTCGTTCAGTTTGAGTGACGGGTCCTTTGTCTGTACCGGCGGTTCCCTTCGCCGTGCTTCATGTTCTAGTCTTTCCTGTACTACCCTGTACATTTCTCTAATTCGTCTCATATGTTCATTCACATATTCCAGTGCAGTGTATGAGCCAGTCATACTCTCCTTTTTTCCTAGGAACAAGTCAAGAGGGAGTCGAGCCTCCCGTCCGAACAGCAACATGTATGGCGAAAAGCCGGTTGTGGCATGGGGTGTGCAGTTGTATAGATATACCAACTCTGGGAGAAAATCAGGCCAACGTTTTTTCTGTTCAGGTTCTAGAGTACGCAGCAAATCATGCATGCTGCGGTTGAACCGCTCGCACTGTCCGTTTCCTTTCGGATTAAATGTGGTTGTTCTAGATTTGTTGATCCCGTAGTGACTGCACAGTTGGTTAATTACTTCTGACTCGAAGGCCCTTCCTTGGTCAGAGTGTAATTGTCTTGGTATGCCATATTTGATGAACCAATGTTCTATTAAGACCTTTGCCACTGTTTTGGCAGTCTGATCTCGTGTGGGCACCGCCACAGTCCATTTGGTGAAAACATCAGTCATTACCAACACATGTTCCGTCCCATCCGATGATTGCTCCAACGACGTAAAGTCCATAGCCACAATCTCTAGTGGTTTTGTCGCTAATAGGTGTCCCGATGGCTGTCTCATTTTGACAACTGGCATTTTCGCATGCTGACACCTCACACAAGCCTCACAATGGCGTTTGACCTCCATTTCCGTATTGGGCCAGTAACACCTTCGTCGTAATATTTTGTGCGTCCTGTCCTGACCCTGGTGTCCTGCCCTGTCATGTGCCAACCTTAGCACTTCTTCTCGTAATTGTCCAGGCACCACCACCTGGTGTATTGTCCCATCAATTTGGTCATAAATTCTCCGCATGAGAACACCATCCTGTATACTGAGACGGTCCCAATGACTCAGTATTTTCTTTGTTTCTCGACCAAATTGTTCTCTTTCCCTTCTTCCTGGGAATTTTTGTTCCTGGACGTGTTTCAACAGCGGCTGTAAGCCACTATCCGTTCTCTGGGCATCTCTTATCTCTTTGTGATTAAGGCAACTAACATCACCAATGTCCATATGTCCGGGCTCTGTGGAAATGTGCTCCACCCCGGTCTGTCCGTTCTGCCTCACTTGCACCCCGTGAGGGATATCTGTTGACGCTCTGACCTCACATATTCCTGTCAGCGTTTCTTCCTCATCGCCCGGTCTCTCGTAAGGATTCCTTGATAAGGCGTCCGCATTGCCATTGGACCGCCCCGGGCGAAATTTTATCTCCAGGTCAAAGAGTGCCAATTCTGCTGCCCATCGCTGTTCGATGGATCCCAACTTTGCTGTCTTTAGGTG